TTGCTCGGGCCAGCAGCAAGTTTGTAGTGCAGGATCGATTTCGGCGGAATCCGTGTTGCTGTGACACTATGGTATTGTTGTTCTCCAGATATCCCATCAGCGCCTCCGCAATTATACGTTCCATTACTTTGGATAAAACTGGGAGGAGAGTGATTGGACGGTAGTTCGACGGCTCCGCACGATTACCGCTTTTGTAAATGGGAGTGACTAGCCCATGTCTCCACATTGTGGGAATCAGCATTTCGTCAAGACAACGTTGAAAGAACCGAGCTAATGTTTCGGTAATGTTTAGGGCCGCTGCCTTCAACGCCTTCGGTTTAATATCGTCTACGCCTGGTGAGCTGTGCACACGCAACGACATTAGCGTTTTCAACACATTGGTTGCCGTGAACGATACCTTGTGTAAACCTGGGAACGGTGAGAGCTCTGTCAAAATCGGGTGAAGCGATGGTTCACTCCGGAAAGTATGGAGGAAGTGTTGACGAAACACGTTGGCCGCATCCTGTGCAGTTTGCGCATGACCATCTGTTGCACGCAAGACCGGGATCCCGCGCTGCACTCTACGGAGTTTGTTGATATGTCTATACAACAGCTTTGGATTTTTGCTGAATTTCGCCGCTAAGTTCTGTTGGTGCTGGAGTTTGTCTTCGCGAATCAACTTGACGCAGTGGTTTCGTTGAGTTGTGTAGACTCCCCAGGTCAGATTACTTGGGCAAACTTTGTAAGCGTGCCAGGCCGAATCCCTTAAGGCCATCGATTTTCTCGTACGGCTTCTTAGGAACGAATCCACTTGCGTCGGGCAAAAGGCCTTGCGTTCTGATGCATTTGCCACTAGCTCAGTGAATTTGGTGACAAACACCATCCAAGCCTCATCGGGCGGATTCTCGGTCAGGAAGGACCAGTTGGTGTCTTGAACAAGGTTAGACAAGATGTCGTAATGTGTAACCACATAAGTTTCCTCGTCGTTCTCTCTAACGTACTCCGAATAACAGATGTAACGAAAGTGCAAAGTCGCGTGATCACTACGACCTAGTGGTGTAGCTATGGTAACGGTGTCAATCATTAGTTCCTCGTTGGTGAGCACAAGGTCCAAGACAGAGGGGGTGTCACCCGTTCTGAAACGAGTAGGGGAGGTGACATTGTTATACATTGGTAACTCAGTAATCAGTTCTTGCAAATCAGCCTTGAACTGTTCGCTGGGCGATGCTGGAACTTCGAGGCGTGCAGATTGAAGTCTCCCACCAGAAGAACTTGACTGAGTGGACGTGTCAATACTCGTTTCATCGCAGCAGCAAGCCCTTGATCCATTTCCAAGGTAGACATTGGAGGACGGTAAACTATTGCTAGCAAACACACATCGCCACGTCTCAGGTGCATACGACACCAAAGAGAATCGTTGATGTTTGCTTCTGAGTCATCAATGATCTCAACATGTAGGTCGGATCGATAATACAAAAGCACTCCGCCTCCCCTGCTAGGCCGATCTTTTCGTAAGGTACTCATGCCAGGTAACGCAATCTGGGCATCCGCGATTTCCGTGCTCAGCCAGGTTTCGGTGACCATAACTAGGTCCCAGGGCGTGGAGACCTGGCGAAATTGAAGTTCGGTTAGCTTGCTGAGAAGTCCTTGTGCATTAGTATAGAAGCAGGTGAGGGCATCGGTGGTTAGAAGAGTGTTTGTAGATTCTGGTTTTCAGTTGGAGTTTACGCCGACCCTTGTGGGGTCGGCTGCCGTTAGTATTTTTGTAGGACCGATGCTACAGACCCTAATGCCAGTTCAGGTCGTTGTATTGAGCTCTCAGCGCCAACAAGTGGGTGACAAACTTGTCCCCCTTCAGCCGGCAGCGTATTTTGGCATTGTCTCTGGTCTGAGCTATATGGCGGCAGAATTGTATTGGTACCTTGCTTGCTTAGTGTGACATGGTCTGTTGGTGGTTCAGTGCCCACCGTCTTTATACGTATTCCGGATGGTAGCATTTGACGCATTTTGCGCCACGTATTGATCACATATTCTACCATGATTTCGGAATGCAACGATATTTTCATCACTCGGGGACCACATCCTTTGTAGTTAGGTGAGAGTGGTAACCTTAATGTCGAAGTAGCAATAACGTTTTCGAGTGAGAGCAGTTCGCGAATAAAACGCCATTCATCCCGGTCATGCGCTTTGGCCTCTAGATCGCTTGAGGTATTGAGCTCGGGGACACCGTGAATAAGAACAGATTTGGCTGAACAAGAACAGATTTGGCAGCAGGTTAGCTACAGAGCTAGCCAATCAAACACGTTGCAGTGTCCTGTCTTCTGAGTCACGTAGCGTTTGAATTCGTGAAACAAACAAGTATGCTCGACCTATCTTTCTTAAATAACCTTTTAGATAGTTTGTTATAACTTCGCTGTTCTAACTCTTGTTTAACAATGAAGGTTGCTTTATGAAAAATCTGAAAAAATGGCCCACTCTAGCCGTTCTAGCTGTACTAAGTTCCGCATAACTCCATTTGTCATCTTCCAAAGACATTACTTTTCGCAGTAGGCTATCTTAAAATCTCTGTCAGCTACCTTCTTAATTTTTTAAGTTTGCGAATGATCCCATAGCATGCAGTATTTTTGCCAGATTTATTGCCCTCCAAAGCTTTAGTAAACTTTACATATGGTTATAAGTCGACCGTCATTCCGGACAATTTCTCTCAGTATCTCAAAACTTTGGTTCACATTTTCTAATTGTGCCAACAAGCTGTTTAGCTGCATTAAGTATGTTTCGTTCTCATTCCGTAATAAGAACTATTTAGGCGCTGTTTAGCAGGCGGCCGATATTTGAATATGTGCTAGTTATATGCTATTCGTAGTGGCGTTCAATTGAGCTTGCATTCTACACCCATAGAATATCAATACATCGCCGTCTTTTCCCATCAGAACAAGGCAGTCGGGCGTATTACTCAGCCCCCATCAAGATCTGAACATATGATCTATATCGCATTGCGTCATTGGTTAGCAGCATGTTCTACTGGGCCTCAATGCACTGCGGCGTACCACTAAGTTTTTCAAGGTAATGACGATAGAGCGAATGGTTTTATATAAAATTCAACTAACTCCACTCAAGCATTCGACCGAGTAAGGCACAAGCGATTGTTACAATGTTGGAGAACTTTGGGATCCAGGACCCATTCCTAGGTTAGTTATCGTCATACCTGAGTGGTCGTCATCAGGTAGTCACTTTAGGTGATTATCGCACTTCCTTACGCTCAATCACCAGTAGGGTCATTCAAGGGAGCGTGCTCGGCCCCTCACTCTTTATGCTTTACATCAATGACATCATCACATCTGGAAAACATGATACGTCATTTTTATTTGCTCAGGATATCAAATTCGTCTACATGCTTCCGCGTAACGAGGTTCTCGAGACATTACTGCTCGTTCAAGATGATTTCCATTCCTTTGAGTCATTGTGCTGCACGTGGGCAATGAATCTCTCGGCTGAGAAAGCAAGCATCATGAATTACGGCTGCTGCATCCCCGAAGGATCTAGCACTCTAAACAATGAACGAGTCCTTACAGAGCTGTCCAAGCGAGCACCTTTAATTACGTACTCGTCTACCTTCAATTGCTCCCAACAGGCCCCATACAAAGTAGCAAGTGCCAGTCTATATTCAACATATTAAATAAAATGCACACAACTCGCGCTAGAGTTGAGCTTTTCAAGCTGCTCACTCCCCCCCATCCTCGAATACTGCAGCATACTATACGGCAATATGAGCGTGACAGAATTGCTGTGGAGCAGCTGCAGAAGTCATTTACTAAACCTCTGATTGGTAAACACTCTGCAATGGGTTATCGAGAACGTTGCAATGAACATCTCGAACCACTGGATTCAGCGATTGAAGCACAACTTGTTGCTTCTTTTCAAGGTGCTACACAAACGGAACTATTCCGACCAGCCTACGCTTAGTTTACAGCATTTCTCAACTCGAGCGATTCGCAACAAAGGTTTTACACTGATAATAACGAAGGCTAGAACGAACGTCCGCTCCAATTTCTTCCTGGTCAGATAAATCTATCTGTGTAATAAACTACTAATAACACTCAGGTTATGCCACAATGTGGCAACATTTAGTAGCAGACTCGCCAATTACCTTGATTTAAGTACCATAATCTCCATATTAACATGCAAATATCCCTCGATGAGGTATTCAAACAGGGGCCCCCAATTATCTTAACACTAATGTTTTCATAACTAGGCTTTGGCGTCAACCAACCGCCGGAATGTTAATACATGAAATGCATATCCCAATACTCCACCTATGCATGTCACCCATGCAAAAGCATGGATACTTGTATACAAATTGATCTGTGCCGCTATAGACGCAGTTTCTCTCATCAAGATAAATATACGCCGTATTATTATTATTAGTAGTAGTATTGTGACTGCTCAGTTACAGCAACACTGCTAAAGGAAGACGTGATAGGAGATAATGAAATCGTTTCGCTGGACCGCGTGATGAGAATATTTGTATTTTGATAATCAGTGGTTTTGGCCAGCTATTCGGTCAAATATAAAATATACGCACATGGGTAGTGATTCAGGTCTAGCCCGGTCTCACTGTTTCATGTGGGCCAACCAGATACTAATGAACTATGATGCCCACATTTTTTGGCATTTAATTGTCAGGGCATTAGCATATTTGAAAAGTATAGACGGAACCGAGTGCACATACATATTTCCATCAAACACATGCACACACACTACGTATAGGCAAACGAGAAAACCAAAGCTACTCAGTGCGAAAACTCAACTAAGCAGAGCTTAGCGTACGTTAGCGAATAACAGAGGATGTAAGTGAAGCGGACAGGCTGTGGACAGATTGACAAATGTGGCCATTGGTGTCTCTCAGATTGTTTCGGTCAGTTAGCTTCTACCAATCTGCCTGTTCGTTAGTTCACCGCTATGTCTCTAGCAATAGGGCTGACAGACACGCACGTGGTTTGGTAGTCTTTCTCATGATGGCTGTCCGTAAGGGGGTGGGAATGAGTTTTGAATAACCTACCTGCTCATTTTGGAAAGGCTATCCCGAAACATTCCCATTAGCAAGTTGAGTCAATCAACACAATGAAACCAACGATTGAATTTAGTTAAGAGGCCGAACTTCACGTAAGGATTATTAAAGCGATTCAACATATAAAGTCTGTGCTCATAGCGCGTTTTGGGAATTTGCGCATTGCTACCTCCGGGCTTGATTCATTATTCTGTGTGTTCACTGCTTCCGGGAATTTTGGAAAATATTTAGCGGAAATACAATTCTACAACTCTACAACTCTTTGCTGGAAAATCGAAATCACCCTAACTTGCAGTAAGTCAGTATTTTACGGTTAATATAGATCAGCTGTCATCAGTTAGAATTGCGCAGGCAATGAGAACATTTTAACTGAAAGCTTAGTGAAAAGTTGGGCAAATTTCTCCCAGCAAAAGTTGAAAGTTTCGGAAGTGCTGGGTCTATCCTTACATCCACAAAAGATATTTAGTTGGTTGAGTCAAATCCACACTCGCTAAGACGCGCTGTTTCAATGAGCTTGGAGAATAATCTGACTTTATGAATGGTGTGATCCTAAGTATCCAAGTGAAATTTTTAAATGACCTTAGGCATGCAGATTTCTTTGCCCTCGGAATTCTTACATGTTACTTCTTTAAAACTACCTCCCTTCTCAGTCGCTAACTTTAGTCGAAATCGTTGATATTCAGAACGCGATGGCCAATGGATTTGATTGACATTGTAAGGCTCCGCCGTTCGATAAGCAATCCGTGAATCTCCAATCAGTGAATATCAGTAAATGTAAAACCGGTTGTAGATTTCAAATTTGCTCGTGGGTAATTACTAACAGCTATATTGACGGCTCCGTTAAACAAAGAAATGCAGAATCACTCGTAGTGATGGGTTTTCTACCGAACAATGCTAAACGTCCGTTAATCAATGTTCGACTTGTAAATGTTGATCAATCGCATTATTTTGAATATATATCACGACATGTACCCTTAATCTCTTTTGCCCTATTACATTGACTACTAGTATGTTCAGGTAGTTACATGAGTTAGATCATTATTCCTATTTCTCTAATTACAAATATACTTGAATACCTTACCAATGACTTTGTGTCGTTGGCATTGTTGGTTTAATCAAATATCTCGTTGCAGCAGAAACTAACTTAGAGGTACTTAGATGTACGATCACTCCAAGACTACTCGTCAGTCAGGATGTAACAACAAACGTGGCGGAAAAGCAATGTAGATTTCGTTCGGGTCGCGGCATCATCGATATGGTGTTTGCGGCTTGTCAATTGCAGAGGTAGTGCAGTGAATGGCACTAGCCGTTGTCCTCGCTGTTGGTTGATCATACCAAAGCGTTTGATAGGGTGAACCGCGAGGCATTGTGGCTGGTGTTAGGTAAGTTTAGTTGTCCTATGAAATTTATAATTGTAATTGCATGTCTGCACAATGATATGCGGGCGAGGGTGTAGCTAGTGGATAGACCTCGGATGAGTTTGTAGTTGTCTCTGGTGTGAAGCAAAACTGTGTCTTAGCTCCTGGCATATTTAATATTCATCTTCAAGCCATGATGCCTTGTGCGTTTGATGATTCTTGTGCTTATGGTAAACGTATGGAGCACCGCATTGATGGTGGTGCGCAGATCATCCGTCTTCTCGGTGCGAGAAACATAGTCTGTGAGACTACCTGTATATTTCTGTTTGCTGACGACTGTGCGTTCTTTGCAAATAGCGCAGAAGATTTGCAGCATATGATTAGTGCTCTGGAGTCCGCAGCGGCTAAATTCAGGTCAACAGTCAACACAAACAAAACTGTCTTTTTCAGCTTTCACCGGAATTGCAATCTGCAATGGTGCCGCTAATCAGCATTGGTGTTGAAGTATTAGAAATCGCCTCCAGCTTCCGCTACTTCGGAAGTGTGGTTTCGAATGACCAGAAAAATAACACTGAACCTCTTATCCGCGTACCAAAGGCAGCTGCGCATTTGTAAAGCTTGAGTACCAAGTGCGGAGCAACCATCAGGCTACCGTTAGCACGAAACTGATGGTGTACAAATCCGTGATGCTGTCTGTTCTCCTATACGACAGAAAAACTTAAAGGAGGTACCAGCAAGGTGAGAGATATCTCGCGCGATTTCATCAGCAGTGTCTAGGACGGATTCTGCGCATTAGTTGGTACGACAAAATTGCAAACACGGTGGTATTGCGCCGAAGTGGAATGTATGTAGTGGACTGCATACTTTTGCTGAGACGCCTGAGTTTGCAAAGTCATGTGTGCTGCATGGATTCGATTCGGATACCGAACTAGCTGATATATGGTCGGCTGAGTGAGGGGAAGCGCCATGTGGAGAAACCGATTTTTCGACATGGGCAAGGTGAGTATATCACGTGTTAAAGCTCTTTTCAGGTGTTGGGAATCGAAGGCGCTTGATCGGCTTGCATGACGCGATCTGATTAAAAAGGCAGTTGCTGTGATTCAGGAGAAATCACTCGTGGATGCGAAAAAGAAGCGGCAGGTGCGGAAGCGGCAGACACCGATGGCGTGTATTCCATCGACTTCGAGCGCATGGTGCTGTAACACAAGCCTTCGGGGGTACTTAAAGTTAGGCAGGCCTAGTGAGCCACAAGTGAGTCATTTTGGGACCAGCACCGAAACAACGACGGGTCCTGCTGAGAATGTAAGCAGAACCGCTGCAGCGTTTGTAGGTACGCTGCAGTCCATTTACTAACGGCGTGCTTGCGCGCTGAGCTTCATTATTTCAGTGTTAAGTTTGCTATGTTTTGTTTACACTCACCTTCTTACCTCATTTTAATGTCCATTTTAAAGTCTATCCGCTTAATCTATTTACTTACACACGTCACTTAAACGAAAGTGATTAATTTCGTTAATTTTACTAAACTTTTTGCGTTTTTTTCTCTCTTTTCTGTCACCTTGAGTTTATCGCGGATATGTTGTTAACGTATTTATTTAATTTGTTAATTTTCTGAAGAGTTAAATCAGCGTATCCGCATGCTTTACTCAACTTAGTTTAGGTTATACCGCAGTTGCAAGTGATTGGCTGTTCCTTGACATCTCCGGTGTGGTTCGCTTGTAGTGCTGTTTGACAAGGTGCCTACCTGTATATTATCTACCACCTCCTCTATACTGACTCCAGGCGACAATTGGTCGTTACTGTAGACTGGGTGCGCAGTTCTTGTGACCGGTTTAGCCCAAAGGGTGGTTCTATGCACATGGTCTGTGTTTGGAGCAGGCTACTGCCTAACCACCGCCCTGTATACGCTTGATCACTCAAACGCATTGTGCTTGTGTTTGCCTGTGAGTGATTCTGGGTTGGCTCCGTTGATGAAACGAGGCTCACATCCACAAGCCTAGCGGTTTTAAATCTTTGGCTTCACTCCGGATATGCGGTGTGTGAATAGCGCTGTGGGTGGAGCAGCACAACAAAGCCATGCTACCTCGGCAAGCGCAGACGTCCTGTGGCTGTCCCTGTGGGGGCCGCAGTGACAAGCACATCCGGAACCGGATGCTGCCAACCAAAAAAGAACCGAAAGGACGATGTGGCAAATGAAGCTCGTTTTCGATGCGTTATTGTCATGCCAACCACACCGCAGTTAAAATCTCAAGATAGGAAAGGATGGATTGAGGCACTGGAAACGGAAGTGTCAAAATACTCACAGTGGATGTGGTTCGTTCAAGCGGAAGCTGGCCATGGTAAGACCAATGGCTTGACGAACTTTATGCGCATAAAGCCGGGGAATGTAGAGAAGAATCGCGATGGTGTCCGCCAACGCAAGGATTCAGCATCTGATAGGCTTAGAATGTATTCCCCCACACGGTTGATTGGGATGATTCATTTATGCTAGGTACTAGACCATAGCAGTGGTACACCTGATGTTTAATCCTCGTCAAAGCCATGCTTGGTGCTGCTCGCGGACGCGTTCAGGCAAAGGCTACGTGGTGCAACTTTTGTAAATTGTCTCACAGTAACAGCCGAATCGGTACTCACAGAAGGAGGTGATATCCACAAACAAAATTTGCTGCACCCGTAAAAGGAAGGTAATGCGTAATGTTGCGGCCCCATGGTTGCTAATGACGGCCACCCGTAATCGTTCGCTAAACAGTTCGAAACTCTGACTCCCTTAAACGGCACAGTCAAGTAGGTTGGCTTCTTTCCAAATGTAGGTACTTTGCCGACCACACAGTCAATCCATATATTCTAATCAATGAAGGCCTGCGCATGGCCGTTAGTAGAACAGAGGTTTTATATTACGGTCAGCTCTGCTTCTATTGTGTATTCAGAATAACTTTTAAGCGTTTATCCTACAAGACACCGGGCCAGTTTTTTCTCTATAATTACCTCTAAGCTTTCGAACTGCCTATAATGACCCATCCAGTTATTTTCTTTTAGGATTCTGCATTGCGGTGAGCCACTTTGTCGACGGGATATTTTCACCTCCAGGAAAACCAGACTTACAAGTGACTCAGGTTATGTGTGAAACTGAATGTTTCTAAAGACCCGATTGGATTTCCGTAATAAAAGAAATTGGTATGCAGAGCCGTCAGCTATGCATATCGCGTCATCGACATAACTTCTATAGAGTGGCAGTTGTTCAATCCTTTCACTCAACGGACCCTTCATCGTTATGACCATAAACATCAGTGAATAAAGGACGCAGTGTTAGCCCCCATATCTAGCCCGTATTTTTGTCGGTATATATGTTAGGCAAAGCCAAATCGGAAGTGGTGTGTACACTGAGGAAGCAACCTCTTTATTTCCTCCACTGGAAAGGCAATTTACTTACCTGTGCGCTCGATGTAATCAATAAGGTAATCCATGGTTTTCTAATCAAGTGGTTACTAATCAATCAGGACAGTTTGAGCAAAAATAGGTGCGCTTTTTCCACTTTTTGCGTACTAATGCTGTCGACGAACTTGAAGGTGTCGCTAGCTCACTTCGTGATGGTTCTAGCAGTCCGACCTACCAATTTGACAACTTGTAGTTGCTCATATCCCGTACGGGTCCTAAAGGGATAATGGTGCACATTGGACGAATTCTTTCAAATATCAGCAAATCGATTTGCCTTTTCTGTTTCATTTTTCTGAAGGATTTAGATATAACTTTTTCAAGCTTCTAGAGCTTGTCCTTATCATTGAACCTTTTTACGAATTTAGAGGAATCCCCAATTAATACACTCAGCTTATGGTGGTATTCAGTTTTATTCATAATAACAATACCTTCGCCCTTTTATTGCTGCGACAGTCTCTTTTCATTGCTTCTAAATTGGCTGTTCCATGTTCACAGTAACTTCTC